GCCCCCCCTGTAAGGATCTCAGGGTGGCATATTTGGTTCTCTCCCTTCTTCCATTTCATCCTCATAACAACCCCCCTGTAAGGTAGGTTAGGCTGGGAGAGAGGGACTGGCCCAGGTTTACCTAGATAGCTTCCACAGCAAGGGGGGGATCTGACCTTGTCATGCTCAAAACACTACACAACACTGGCTCTCTAGATCTATTGATGACCTCTTTAAAAACACTTGTGGCTTGGTGGACATTCAATGATTATGTCACAGTGGTAGTGTACTAAAGTTTAAAGCCATTGCCCTCATTCTTAATATCTTAACCTTTATTTTCCATAAATAACAACATCTTAGAAATTAACCTTTCAAAGGCTGGAGGATGAGTTGAGGCTGTTTCCGGGCAAACCAGCAGCTGAATGTGCAGACAAGGAGACTACCATTGGGATCTCGGGAAAGGTGACAGAGGTACTGCAGTTCATCTCTACAGTCTGGGGAGTGTGCAAAGCAGTGGTAGGGAACTGGGGGGCGCAGGCCTCCCAGTATAGCTGAAGAGTTCCCAGCATTCGCTCCCAGTTCCCCACCACCACCACCACCACCACCACTTCACAGGTCAGCAGGGTGAAACCGATGACAACCCTCCAAGAACAAGCCAGTATAGGAACAAGCTTTTGCTAATTGTTCATCAAATAGTCTTCTGTGCAGGCCAGCTGCAGAACCAGTTCCTAAAACGCAAGGACCACACCCTGTATCCCTACAGCAGAACCTGGGTATTTACAGGCATTCATTCCTGCAGCTGTAGCAATGAGGTCTGTACTACAGGTACAACAGGACCCTGCCCAGCATCCTGCAAAGCCTCAGAGTGCAGGGTGGTCTTCTGACGCCCTTCGGAAGGTGAGAGGCCCTGATTGGCCAGCCATGCACTCCACCATCTGAGCTGAACTTCTGCCTGGGTTTTCTTTCTCCTCCACTCCTGGAATTCTGGGGGTGACCATGGGGTCCCTGGCAATAGATGAGTCTCTTCAATGGATTCCTCAACAGTCCCAGTCTCTGGCACTGTCTTCTGATCACAGGACACAGTCCTGATGGCCCTGGGGAGTTAGAGGCCCTGGGAGCCTCGGGGTCTGCCAGGGTTTCAGCCTCCATGGAGTCAGCTATGATGTCACCCTTATCCTCCAAAGAAGACTCCGCAGACCTCACCCTGACACACACATGGCTCTGTTTAATAACTGTATGAATTTGCTTCTAGCCCTGAAAAGTCTGTGACTCAGTCAGATTGACAAATGACTGGAAAAGGAGGTCATGTTCTTGGCATAAGGCAGGTATTCATTAGCCACAGTGGCTAAGTGGGTTAGGATCTGTACCTAGCCAATGATGCACACAGCCTGTCTGCTACGGAGAAGCTGTCTCCTACCGAAAGGGGATGCAAAATCCTACTTCTTGAAGAAGAAAGAGACATGCATAAGTTTTATCGACTGAAGATGACAGAGATAACGTCTGCCCTTTGGTAGATCCACATCTGGTTTTTGCACTTTAGTTGTAACCCTGATCCAATTACACATGGATGTAGCCCTGGTCAGCTCAATCAGCAATCTGTTGTCTGAAGGATGGGAGAAAGAAATGGGAAGAATGACATCCAGTTCCCTCCTCCCATCTACATAGCTGATCAATGTTATCTGCCAATGTACTGATTGGGGGATAGTACACACAGGGCTGGAGCTGCGGTGGCTCAAGTGGTTAAGACGCTGAACTGCAGGCTGTGGAAGGTCAGTAGTTCAGCAGTTTGAGACCCAGGGTGCCGCAAGACGGAGTGAGCTCCCGTCTCTAGTTCCAGCTCCTGCCAACCTAGCAGTTCGAAAGCAAGACATTGCAAGTAGATAAATAGGTACCACTTTGGTGGGAAGGTAACAGCGTTCCGTGCGCCTTCGTGTTTAGTCATGCCGGCCACATGACCACGGAAACGTCTTCGGCCAGCGCTGGCTCTTTGGCTTTGAAACGGAGATGAGCACTGCAACCCTAGAGTCGGATTCGACTGGCTTTCGAGCAAGGGAACCTTTACCTTTACACACAGGGCTGGCAGCTGGACTGGACTAGACAATAAACTGCATGCACGGCACCCTTTTTGTGTTCATTATTCCTCATCCAGCTTGGGCTGAGGGCAGAAAACGACTTCCATGCATGTACAGCCCCATTGCTGGGCTAAGGCAAATATCTATTGGAGCCGTATCTCTAAATAACAGGTAAGATTTTTGGAACTTTGCACTTCAGTGCTAGTTAGTGAAACAGCTGGATCTCCAGAACAAGGTTCTGGGACAGATTGCCTCTCCCCCCTGGCAAGTCTGGGAAAACAGCTGAAGGATCTGAAAAGCGAGATGCCAAAGCGGCCCTGGAAAGTTTCTCTGTGTCACAATACTGGGCTACGTGCAGGAGTGGAGGTGAGATAGCTAAGCAAAAGACTTGCTAATTGTGGCGTAAAAACTGGCCAAGGTTCAGAAGTCCATTCATTTGGGAGTCCTTCTGCACGATCAAAAGCCAAGACTGTAAAGGAATATGCAAAGATAGAGGGCAGGATGAGAGGCAGGCCAATGAACCTTCAGAATTGTGCGACTTTGCTAACCTCTTGCCTATGACTCGCAAATTGTGGTAACGGAAATAAGATTTTGCAACTGGCCTTTTGTCCTGGTCACACAATAAAGGAACTAGAGAAATGTCCCTAGAACAGCGGCCACTTTGGCCCACTCAGAGCAAACTGAGAACGTTAGCAACTTCCTTCCCTCCTACTGGAGTCCAGATCTGTCTTCATCCTCTGCCACTAAGGCCACTAGATAAACTCTCAGGTAAGGATGCCAGACTCCAGGTGGGACCTGGGAATGCTCAGGAACTTGTTACCATGTGTGTTTTGCAATTGCATTTTGTCTGTACTGTGCTTATGCTGTATTGGTCAGATGTCTGTGTATCTGTGCATTTGGGACTCAGGGATCACTGCTGTGTGTGTTTGATGCTGTGTGTTTGAATGGCTGGCCTTGCACCTCATGCTGCCTATGGATGGGCATGGCTTGAGCTGCCTGCCACAGGACACATGCCTCCCTGGAATCTCCCAGAGTGCCTCTGGACAAAGGAGACCAGCGCCATTATGCACAATGAGAGACTTGGGAAAACAACAGCGTTCCCCACCATTGCTGATCTATGGGAAACCACGTAACTCTCTTCCTGCTATCTGGTTTGGCATCACAAAGACAATACCGTTTATGGCCCTCTGGACCGAGCATCTCTGCAAGTCAAAGGTTGCCAATGGAAACGACAGTTTCACACCTGGCCACATGGCCCCCTTTGAAGTTAGGGTAGCATATCTGCATATTGCCCCTTCCCCTTCATTAGGACGTCACAACTCTTTGACCTATAGCCTTAGCAAAGAGGACAGACCCCAAGGGTTTATGGCCATAAGCCAAGCCCAAAAACGTAGCTTTTAAAAAGAGGAACACAGCCTTTGTTTCTCTGGTACCCATCCCCTCCCCACCTTGCAACTCAAGTGCTGCAGGTGATTCTGACTGTGTTCCCTGGAATCCGGACCTGGGAACCAGCACGTGGCTTGGCTGGTCCGGTCCGTGTGTTTTCAGAGCTCACCCGCTAGCCCTTAAGCTGCCCCATTCTTCTAAGAGGAGATTTCTCCCCATCTGGAACCTCAGATAAGTATAAGCGATATCCTGTTGTGTTATCCCCCCCCCTTGTCTGTTGCTTTTGTTATTTTCCTTGCTGATTGTTTTCTATGAACTATTGTAACTAAGGATCTTGTGAGAATCTGTGTATGCATCTGTTTTCGTATGCTTGAGAACTGTTTAGTAAAAGGCAACATTTATTCATAAACCTAGCATGTTGTCTCAATTCCTGGGAATTAGCAGTGTTCTGTTGGGCCAATCTGACCTCTGTATACATTGGACAAGAACTCACGCCCCGCCCACTGTCGTAGATAATTCAGATTGGGCTCCCGGAACCGTCCTTGGAGGAGGTTCGGTCACAAACTACACTCATTTCCAGACTGCACAGACCAGTTCCCCTGGAGAAAATGGATGCTTTGGAGGGTGGATGCTATGGGCATTGTGCTCCATGGAGGTCCCGCCTTTCCCAGGCTCCACCCCCCAAAATCTCCAGGAGTGTCCCAACCTGATCTGGCAACCCTACCTCCCCCCATTCCCTCACTGGTGGCCAAGGGGAACCTGGCAGTCCTGCTCTTAGGGTTCCTACACTGACCACAGTGGATGAGGTCCATGTGCTTTATTTGGTTATGTGCTACGACTAAGACAGTTTTCCATGAATCTTAATAGGCAAGGTTTGCCTTTGTCCTCCTAAGATACAAAGAACTCTTTGCATGTGTTATTCTTTGGAATGGGGTGCAGTGTCACAACATCTATGTTTTGTAAAGGACAGGAAAATCCAATTCCATGTATTTTTATTAAGGCCAACTGAAAGAACACAGCATAATGTGCAAGCTTTTGAGCTCTCCAGCCATCGGGCTGGATGTTGGTTGTCATATTTTCAACTGAATGGTTTCCATTTTTGCTTCTTCCTCCCAGATAACAACTCTCGGTGCCCACTGAAGTAATCAGTTCTGGAGAACTCAAAGCCTGCACATTTGTCTTGTGCTGTTTCTGCTGATCTTAATCAAAGGCAAGGCATGGCTTTTGGGTCTGGAACATCTCCATCTGTTTCTCTTGACCCAGGGGCTGATTCACAAATTATATCTATCGCTGCTCTCAGGCAAAAGCACTGCTTTCAATATGGGGTAGCAACAGTTTTGCCTCTTCTCCAGGAGCACATGGTAATTTCAAAGGAGCCAGTCCTAAAAACCTCTGCAGCTGCTCCTTGACAGCTGTGTAGGTTGCTGGCCAAAGGGAATCTGCCCGTTTCTCTAAGGTACTTCAGCAAGCATTTCCCCTATGTAGGAAGGCAATTCAGGAATCAATCCTCAGTCAACCGCTGAACTTCTGAACTGAGTTACTATTGTTACATGAGCTTATCCGAGACAATACATGAAAAGCTGTGGACGGCTGTTTTCCATGGTAACCACATAGTAATCTTGGAGTGAAAGTACTTACAATTCCTCAAAACACTTCCCACCAAACAACGGGCAAAGAAGGCTGCTATCCAAGCAGGCAGCAGGTTTTAAGAGCTCATGCTAATTTTCAGTGCACTCAAAAATGTTTTACTCTTGTTTTCATTAAATACAGATAAAATTTAAGAACAACTGGAACAGTATCCAAGGAAACATTGACAGGGTATCCCAAAACATGGTTATAAATAATCCACATAAGGCTAGTGGTACTGAAGGGGGAAATGTCACTAACGTGATTGTCAGATGCAGTTTCTAAAAATGAACAGTAGTGACATAATACCTAGAAATTGATGTGTTGCTCTGGGCAAACTAGAAACAGGGAGATAAAGTAAAAGTATTTTGCTTCTTAGAACCATCCGTTGAAACACAATCAGTGATCTGTACAAATCCGGACACAGAACGTGGGCCCACAGAAGGGGGAATGCAGACATGCTGCTACTGACTTTGTTCCTTGGAGATTCCATGGTAACAAACTGAGAAAGTGGGAATAAAACAAGAGTCTGAGGAAGCTCTTCATTCAGGAGGAAAAAGAGTTTGCATCAAGCTTGCGCTGGCAGTCTTTCCGTCACTGCCTACCAGAAAACGCTGGTTTTAGACTGTGACTTCATGGAAGCATCTTGACAATGCCCATGCCAAACAGCATCTTGACAGGATCCGGCCCCACTGCTGCGCTGGTTGCCATTCGATCACCAATAGTAATTGGCCCGTTCTTAATATGCTTTGCTTGCCCTGCTCACTGTGAGTGGTGGTGGTGGTGGTGGAGAGCATGTGCAACTTATCAAGGGTTTTCTTCTAGCTGCATCCTCCCACGCTTGACAAGTCCGCAATGGTGATGAAGGCCAGACTTTGGCAACAGCAGCAACAGTGAGGGGGGCTTAACCTCAGCATCCAGACTGAAGAATATCTCCACCAGAGCGCTTTGTCACTGACAAGCTGGTAAATACCTGAAGAAAGAAGGAAAACAAAAGCATCTGGGTAATGCTGGGGAGGATTTTTAGGCTGATGGAACTCAAGAGGAGGAGGAGGAGTACAAGAGGAAACTGGATTTATACAATACCCTTCACTACCTAAAGGAGTCTCAGAGCAGCTTACAATCTTCTTTCCCTTCCCCTGTGAGGTAGGCGGGGCTGAGAAAGCTCTTTCGAGAACAGCTCCAAGAGAGCCATGACTGACTCAAGGTCACTCCAGCAGCTGCATGTGGGGGAGTGGGGAATCAAACCTGGTTCTCCCAAGTTAGAGTCCATGCTCCTAGCCACTAGACCAAACTGGCTCTCTACCAGATACAGAAAGAAGAGTCTATTCACTCAGACCCCTGTGTGCTCAGCAGGGATAGCAACCACCTTACAGAATTGTTAAAGGCTTAACAGAGAAAATGGAGAAGAAGTTCTTTAATTGTTCAGGAGATGATATTTAAACAATAAGCATAATTCTCTTTCTCCCTTGCATCCCAGCTTGGGGGAGGGGAGTGTTCCACAGACCTGACGCAGAAGTCTGCAACAGTGAGACCTGCACTGCTTCTGCCCAGATGTTTTGCTCTGCTTTGGCTGCCTTACAGCAGTGCTATTTTCAGAAGCATCCACATGACATTGTCCTCTATTTGTCCTGCTTTTGTGTTTCCCCCTGCTTCGCTGCAAATCTTTCTCAAAACTGGTTTGGTACAATCTTTTTGGGAAAATATGCAGTCAAAAGTGCTTTTGGAGGCTATGGCCATCTCCATATGGGTGATTTCCCCTGGGTTCGATCCTGTTTGGATGTGGGTTTTTGTTTCCCCTGCTTCCGCACAGCATTGTAGTGCTTCTGTACACCACTTCGGTTTTCCTTGACTTGTGATCTTTCCCAAGCCCGCTTTGCTGTGATGTTTTGGGTTTCAGGAAAGATCACAGATCACAGCAGAACCAGGCTGGCTGTCATGTGGGCGGGAAAGTCTGGGTCTTCCCAATCCTAACCACATGGCAGCCATTTTCCCTTCCCCTGTCCCAACAGCCACCCCCCACATGTGTACATTTTTGCTAGTCCTGTGCAAATCAATGCCATTTCTCTTGCATCAGCCTTTATGGATGCCACCCCTCCACAAACATACAAACACACACACACACGCAAAAGGGCTTTTGGGGGACTTGAAAAAAATTCAGGAATTGTTAGATCACTATAGCATTATTACTCTCTAGGGCCACAAATCGACTAGTTCCCAGTTTTCATTTTAAAAAATTAAAAAGCCTATAGCTCTTTTTGTTCTCAAATAATAAGGGGAAACACGTTCCACAACTATGAATGTATATATAATACTTCTGCCTGTCAGTCTCATCTAGCTCAGCATCGACTACTCTGGCTGGCAGCATCATTGATGCATACATGCACCTGTGAAATAGCTCACTATCATGCGATCAAGCAGACAGGGAACTGAATTCAGGCAGCTGGTGACTTGCCCAGGAATCCCAAATACAGGGAAGATTTGAACTCAGATTCCAAGTTAAAGGTCAACAAAGTGCCTGCTAGACCAGACCAGCCTATCTTTGCAGGGGTAGGAAGTTTCATTTTCGGGAAGAAGGTGCCTTGTAAAATGTTCAACTCCATTTCTTTTTCAGAGCTCTGCACTAAAATTGCTACAGAAAAGTGGCAAACATACCAAGCAAGCAGGCAAATCTCGGCTTCCCTTACTAACATCACTCATTATCATTGTATTTGTGGTTCTGGGGAAAAAGGAAAATAACCCTTTGCCCTTTCCCCATATGGTGATGGAAAATGCTATCAAGTCATACCTGACTTATGGCAGCTTCTTCATGGCAAGAGTCTTACAGAGGTGGTTTGCTATTGCCTGCCTCTGAAGAGCAACTCTCGACTTCCTTGGTGGTCTCCCATCTCAGTACTATCCAGGGCTTACCCTGCTTAGATTCTGAGATTGGAACAGTCTGGGCCATCCAGGTCAGCCACTTAGAGTGCCTGGAATCGTGGACCCCTGGAGATTCCATTAGAATGAGTTGTTCATTTCCATTCCACATTAGACCATCCTGGCAGACTTAATCCCTTTTAGACAAAGGACAATCCAGTTTGTTTTTTTTGGGGGGGTTACATTTATTTCTTTTTTAATGGTGCTTGATGGAGGTTGGACTATATTTTATATGGCTGATTGGTAACAGTAGCCTCTGACAACAGAGATGGGGATTTGTGTGGGACTGGAAATACCAGGTAGTCATTCTTAGAAAATAGGCTGGCTTAAGTCTAATTCAATTTAACATAAATATCTGGACATTTAGGGTTTTCCCTTGTCTTCAGTGGAAACTGGGTCCACAGGAGATTGAGTAGGATTTAACGGCCCCTTCAACCTCTTCTTACCAAAAAGAGATCTGCACATGCTCTGAGGAACCTGCTACAGCATAGGTAATGTGTATTTAGCTTAGTCAGTTCGACTGTATTGCTTTTCATTTGAATATTTCTGTCCTGTTGTTGATGTCTATTTTTTCCTGTATTTTGTTTTGCCCCCTTTCCACCCCTTTTTAAATCCAGCCACCCTTTTCCTTGTCCCCCCTTTACAATAAACCTTTTTATAAGGACATTTTTTGCTTCACTTAGCACAATCTATTTCTCTGGGATATTTCTCTTAATTCCTTCCCCATGTGCTAAACTACATACTTGCTACCAAGTTAGTTATAAGTTATTTTGTTATTGTTCTGGTACTGTGCTGGAAGACTTCTGTTTCAGTAAGTCTAGATGTTCTCCGGAGGTTGTAAGTGGTGGCAGCTGGTTACCAGGGTATTTTCCAGGAAACCCGTGGTCTAAGTGAGTCTTACAGCAAGGAAAGACACCATTTCCCCCTTCTTACGGTAACACAGCTATAGTCACAGAGATCTATTCTCATCATACAATAATACCGCTGTCTCTTCTCCCACTCTCTTTTCCTCAAGGTTTCTGACCTTACAGATGAAAAGAAATAATTAAGGGGAAGCCACATGGCTTTCTGCCATAAGAGCATCTTATCCTTATGCGCTAAATGAAGATATCAGAAAGAGGGTAAAAAAAATCTCTATGACAATACGCTGCAAAGTCTGCTGAGCATTAATGAGCAGCCATGGGCATATTGGTCAAAGATAACTTGCCTTGTGGGAAAGCAGATATCTGTTGCAGACAAAAAGATTCTCAAATAGGTCCCAACGAAATGAATGGGGATTGTGCCAGAGCAATTACTGTGTTAAAGGCAACCCGTGAATTGATTATCCACATGGGTTAAAGGCAACCCGTGAATTGATTATCCACATGGGTTTCTTATGGTTTGTGCACACGTGCTAGCAAGATGCAACTGGTTCTACAAGTAGTGATCATATGGAGCTACCTTACACCAAGTCAGAACATTAGTCTGTTTGATGCTGCTCTGTTTACTCCTGATGGGCAGGGGCTCTCTAGAGTCTCCAGCAGAGAAGAGATTTTCCCAGCACTTACAGCTGGAGAGCCTTTAAACGGAGATCCCTGGGACTTTTTGTATATACAGCATGCACACTCTACCCCTGAGCCACAGCGCCTCTCCATAATGAAGCTGCCGTACCAAACCGGAGCACTGGTCTACCTGGCACAGTACCAGGGTCAGCGTCAGCATACCCTGAGTAGGGCAGCTTCTGGCAGGGCCCACTGCTGCTGACTTCCTACTCCTTTGAAGCCTGCACTCCTACTCTTCCACTGCCTGCTTGTGAGTGCTTTGCCACCTCCGCTGTCCGCTTTATATGCTGCCTAGCACAAAGGTGATTCACAAAGCATCAGCATTCCTGGTGGCCAAGGCAGTGGCACTCCTAGTGGCACCCACCACCATCAGAGAAGGGGTATGCAGGCAGTGTGAGCACCTGTGACTGCAGATGGCAGGAGAACTTGTAAGTGGGCAGAGGAAGAATATGCAGGCAGGTGGGTGAATGGGCAAGAAAGGGGGGCACAGTATTTGGCATGGGGGGGCTGAGCACTCTTGTCCGGGGGGGGGGCAAACTTGGTGCCAGCCCTGCTCAATACTGTCTCCTCTGACAGGCAGTGGCTCACTGGAGTCTTAGGCAGTGGCTCACTGGAGTCTTAGGTAAGAAAGTTCTCTCACAAAGCCCACAATATGAGACCCTTTGACTGGGGATTTCTATAGCTCCCCCTTCTCCACATAGACAGCCTTTTCATTTCTACAATGAAGTGTGCAATAAATAGGAATGTTTGTGACAGGCAAAGTAGGTCTAAGTACAGGCTGCACGATGGTACCATTCTTTAAGGTGGAAATGTCACCACAAGGTAACTGTTGCCCTCATTTTCATGTGGTGAGGTGGAAGAACTCCTTCCTATAATCAGCATTTTTAGGATATCTTTCCTCATAGGGAGGTCACTTCAGCACAAGATTTTTTTTTCTCCATTCAGACACCATCCCTCAATGTTATTGGAAATTTTTCTACAGTCTTCCCCTCCCACATGCCCTTAAATTAAAAACAGCAACTATTTACAAACTTTTCTTCTTAAAACAGATTATCCTACCTCTTTTTATCATTTTTGGTCCTGAAGTGACCAGGAGAAACATGGATATTCAATAAATAAAATTTAGTTGACCCTCTTAATACTTCCTACAGTGATACTATGTTTTTTAAGAAGAGCACACGTACATATAAAGTTGCTTTACCCTGAGTCAGACCAATGATCTATCAAAGTTAGTACTGTGTACTCTGGTTGGGTGAGACTTCGAAGGGTCTCAGGTAGAGGTCATTCACATCACCTACTGCATGACCCCTTTAAATAGAGATACCAGGGATCGAACCTGGGACCTTCTGTATGCAAAACAGGAGCTCTAGCAGTGAGCCACAGCCTCTCCCCAAGATGCAAACGATATGCTCACTACATTGACAAATCACATTCTCAAAGGTTAAACCCACAGTGGGGCTACAAATCACAGCTGTAATTATTCACCACCCAGAACAGATTGTTTTTGAAAAATCATCCGTAGAAGGTCAACAAAATTAGGGGACAGGCCACACTGCAGTCAGAGAGTGTGTCTCCTCTTCAGTTGTTTTCATCCATTTCAGAAGGGAACAAGCAAAGGAGACAAAGTTAAAGAGCTCAGGACACTCCAAGGTCCTCTCCACTGACATTGCAGAACTGGATCCTGCTGGTGTCTGACCCAAACCACCAGTGCTTTTTATGAAGAGGAATGTTCCACAGAGAATATACACTATGGTTTCATACCATATATTGGTCTCAGTGGTGGTGGGGTGAGAAGGAGAAAGGGGTGTTTCCTGTACATAAGCACTCTAAAAATGATGCAGTGCCCCAAATTCTTTTGCAGACATGCTCCTGGGATATGCCTGGGAAATAGGACAGGGACAAAATGTGATTGCACACCCAAGAGATGCACACACTGGATAATGCAACGTGAAGAGAGGAGGGAAAGTCCACAATGGGTCTTGAAGCAGTGACTGGGGAAAAGTCAGGTAGGCATTCACCTGGTGCACCATCAGGAGCTCTAGCCAAAGGAAGGAACTGCAGGGATGTCTGCCACACCAGCCAAGGAAAGTCTCCTCAGGTCAACAGGCCAGAGTAGGTCAGATATCACTCCCACTCCTTATTAAAATCTTCCAGGTCAGACTTCCTCAGTAGTCTGAGCCACTAGGAGACTTGCTCATGGCCTACTACAGATGGCTTTCACAGAAGCTGGCTCTGACACATACCCTAAAGTTATCACAATTTTTATGATGCTTTTTAGCCAAGTGAAAAGTAGTTCAGAAGAAAAAGCAAATTAAAGGAAGCCTGGTAAGTTGCCTTTAGTCAAGGTTTATCGGAAAGCTGATATCCTTGTTTTGCAGACAAAGAAATTTAGGTAGGCGGATTACAGGAAATCAAATCCACTTCAGTCTAAATGGTTCAAAGCGACTGTAATTAGTTGGCATCAAAGTCATCCCTAAGGGAAAATAAACTGAGAGCAGAACAGAGCATCTGCACATGTTAACCATGCAAATAAGCGCAAAGTTCTTGCAGAAAACAAGGATCTGAGTGTTCGGTAGTCCAAAACTGCTCAGTATGCTAGGGCTGTCAAATGCATGTATCATCTTAAAATATAAAAATTCCAAAAACCATGTTTTTTTAAAAAAAGAATGCCAACTCAATCACTGCAATTATTTTTGTGAATCCTTTATCCCCTGTAAATCTTCAGACTGTTCACTACAATACAAGCTGTATTGAGCACTCTTGGCAAAACAAGGGCACCCCAGCAATTCAGGTATTTTGTTGTTAATTCTGCTGTATAAGAGAATAAATTACCAAGGAAAGGTGTAGAGGTAGAGCTCTGAAGTTCTCTAGATCTTTTAAACATTTCCATTTTTTTAAAAAAACAAACAAATAACTTTTTCTTCCATCCTTCACTTACCGCTCAAAATTACAGCTAATCATCTTTGCATTCAAATATCTAGGAATTTTTCTTCTATCACACACGCAACATTGTGCAGTGTAGATGTTCCTACTCAGTTTTTATTCAAATGTCCAAAAGAGGAGTTTGTTAGTGGTGAGTACTTGGTTTATTGGTGGGCTTGCAAGCTCCCTTCCTCCTCTGCTACCATGCCAAACCAAGATCAGAGACTTCCTGGTTTATGAGGGGGAACTGCTGCAACAAACACATCTGACTACCTCTACCGCTCAGGAAATAAGAACTTGCTGGTGGTTCCCAGCCCGGGAGAAGTCTGGCTGTCCTTGACCAGGGCCAGGGCCTTTTCAGCCCTGGCCCGTGTCTGGTGGAATGGTCTGCCGGAAGACATCCATGCCCTGCGGGAGCTGCTACTTTTCCGCAGGGCATGTAAGGCAGAGATGTTCTGCCGGGCTTTTGGCTGATGACAGTGACGGGACTTCTTCCGGCACTCTTACACAATTCACCATTCCTCATAACCCATCCCCAAGGAGGCCGGGGAGCTAGGATTTTCCACCATTTTAAGCATTGTATATATACTGTTTTATCTACTGTTATTTATTGGATTGTTTTAATGTAGTCATATGAGATTGCATATTACTTGTTCTAAGCCACCCTGGGCCCTACTTGTAGGGAAGGGTGGCCTAGTAAATCCAATTTAATAGATTAATACGATAATAGGAAGAGCCCTACTGGATCAGACAAGTGGTCCGTCTAGTCCAGCATCCTGTCTCACACAGTGGCCAACCAGTTCCTCTGGAGGTCCAACAACAGGGCATAGAGGCTAGTAGCCACTGATAGAGCTATCCTCCATGAACCTCCCCAATATTTGGTGTGAAAGTGATTGTTGCACTGATATGAGATCAATTGTCCCTTTGCATCTGAACTTGGGGTCCTTACATCCAGGCAGCAGTTCATAGGAACAGGATGCAAAGTAGCGATCAAGAAAGTTATTACTTCTGTTCTGTGATCCTTGAGGAAAGATTCTGTGAGAACAAACACAAATGACAAAGCTTTCTGTAAAGCTGTTCTGCATACACACCTCTGCACAGACTGGATGAATTCCTATTGTGCTGTCCAACAGTTCTTTTGTCATTCCACATTTTATGGCCGCTGCAAATCCTTGAGTCATTTCTCCAGCATTTGGACCAAGCACATGAAAACCAATAACACGCTCCTAAAGAAGAACAACAACAACCTGATTCAAGCAAGCCTGAAACTACCATTTATTCAGACTAAGTAATGATTGCTTACTACTTAGGAGAATGGGTCTTGGATACCTACGCAAACCATTTTTTATAGCTGAATACCTAAGATATATGTTTTAATCCAGTTTTTAAATGTTTGTATACTGATAATTTACAATGATTTTATGGTATTATTTTCACTTGAAAAATGCCTCAAGCAGGACTCTGAAGAGGCACCATAAAACATTTCCTAAATAAATAATAAAATAAGCAAATATGTCCACAAGCAAATAGAGAAGGCTGCATGTGTACTGAGGCTTTGCAAGTAACCTGGCAGTGCAAAGGAGCTTGGGATAGCACCTGGGAATTCTGCTTGGAGGCTGGAAATGCTGCAAGCTACAGACTATGTGGGGCTCATGAAGAAACTATGGTGTGTTACGTACACATCTGGTAGAGTAACCAGGGTTTGTGACACCTTATTACAAGATTAAAAAGTTAGGCATCAACATCCCACTAAGTGGATATTGCCAAGAGCAAATGCAAAAGAAAGAGATGTTATTTAATGAGTAGGTATATAAAAATTCCATATATAAAAACAACCTTCTTGCTATTCCATGGTGGTGACAACAACCCTCAAAACAACCTGATATTTGAAGCACAACAGGATTACCTTATCTGGAATGTGGCAAATGATTTTTGCATAGCATTTATTGTTATCTCGGGCTGGGACAGTCCATTCCAGTGGCCAGAAATAACTGTGATAAACCTGGAAAAGCAATAGAGATATTAATACTCATATGGATTTTAAATGACTGGAAGATGATATGATGGCTAACAAAATTACAGACACAGGTCAAGATTTTTTAAAAGTAAGCGTCCATTAATTTCTCACCTCTGAACAAATGTCAACAATGACCGAGGATGATCTCTCCATAAAAGTCAGGAGCATTCACAATCCTTGCATTTAAAGAAGACCTCAAGAATGCTCCAGGTTAGGCCTTGTATTAGCCAGATGCTCATCAAATGCTAAAAGTGCACATAGAAATCTGGCCAACAGGTCTACAAGAGTCTGTGTGGTGTAGTAGTTAGAGTGTCAAACGAGGATCTGGGAGTTCTATGCCCAGTTTTGAATCCCCACTCTGCCATGGAAGCTTGCTGGGTGACCTTGGGCTAGTCACACAGTCTCAGCCTAACCTACTTCACAGGGTTGTTGTTGTAAGGATAAAAAGGAAAATAGGAGAATGAGGTATGCCCCTTTGGGTTTCCATTTAATAGAAAGGCAGGATATGAATGAAGGAAACAACAATACTAGTAATAAAAATGTCATAGGTTGAGGACCTGGCCAAAGGCCACAGAAAGCAACTGAATCTTGTGTAAGAGAGAGTTGGTTCTTTTTTTTATTAATGGAATGAAACGTACAACACCAATGCCTTCTAGTCATGGTGAGTTAAGATAACCTTCATATCCAGAGGCAATAAACCCCTGAAACCCAGTGCTAGGAGATAACTTCAGGGGTGGGCCTTGGCCTTTATGTCCTGTTTGTTGGCCCTCCGGGGCAACTGTTTGGCCACTGTGTGAAACAGGATTCTGGGCCAGATGGACCAAAAGTCTGATCCAACAGAACTCTTCTTGTGTTCTTACATTCAGCCACTTGTTGATTAGCACTAGATGCCGTCATGAGAGAAGACAAAGGGTTTTGGTGTGGTGTGAAGATGGCACAGAGGCCTGCGTACTCAGGTAGCCTTTCTATGGTTCTCTTTCATGTAGTCGGTCTGAGAGAAAAGGTGCAAGGCAGCATTTCTCACAGGTGGAAGGACACAGCCTGACTACATTCTAGCTGCAGACCTCCTCTCCATCAGCGCTTCCTACTGATATCTGTGTCCTATCTATGAGATCTGTATCCTAAGTCAGAGAAGCTGTTCAGGAGAAGCTGGGCATAAACTTACAGAGCGTTATAAGGAAAGATTCTTTGGTGGGACTATAAAGCAGGAGTCTGACAGAGGGAGCCATTCCCATTTTCTCCCTCATACCTTTCTTTAGAACAAAGGTTTCTACCTCCACCCACAGATGTTGTAGATAGCTAAAGGCTTAAGGACAAAATCTGAAGTTCAGATTAAAAAAAAACAGGGAGGAAACAAGTCACAAAAGTACATTTTATACAGAATTTTAGAAATACCTCAATGTTATCATCTCCAAATTTCTCTATGGCTTTTTCTTCTGAATAGCCACAGGCTCCATATTCAAGTGGGGTGAACACTGTGGTTGGAACATTCACATAGTCACACTGTCAAGGACAGAGAATATTTGTGTTAAGGTAGTGGTTTTCCTAACCACCGGAACGTCAGAGTCTCAGCAATTAAACCAACAGAGAATCATTGATCAAACATGGTTTGGGAGAGTAGAAATGATACAGTTCTGCAGCAGGTTTTAAAATCCCTATGACAAACCAAGATGAAATCTTATTGGCCACTGGTACTACCAATGACATAAATGAAAGTTTGGGGAGTGGTGGAAAACCTCTTGCATTAATTTAAGTGACCAGGGACAGGTTGCTACTTTGGCACACGAGTTGGCACATGTGCTCTGCTTACATTTCTGTGTGTCAGGAGGGAGCTCAGGAATGCTTGAGCAACTGCTTGCACCGCCTTATGGAGCCCTGTTTAATAGGAGGATCACAAGCACAAAATACTTAGAAGCAATGCTCCCTCTAAGCTGTGGAGTCTTGTGAGCAAAAATCCTACTTTGTGAGCTACTGGCATTAAAGTTGTGAGCGAGCGATTTGGCCACTGCATGAATTAGTTTGCTCTGGAGCCATCCCTTCCCGAGCTGAGACAAAAATCTGTGAGCCAAAGACTAGAAAACTGTGAGCTAGCTCACACTAACTCAGCTTAGGGGGAACACTGCTTAGAAGTTATGACCAGGGCTCTAGTCGGGGGGGAGCTCTCAGGTACGGAGCTCCGGAAGAGAACCTCTAGGGGGCGGGGCGGTCACGTGGTGAAGCCCCGCCCCCTTCTTTACCCCGCCCTCTGCTTCGATCCTCATTCCGTTTGGGAATGAGGATGAAGCAGGAGGGTAAGTAGCCGGGCCTTCTGACACACTTCCGGTGATGTCAGGGGGTGTGGCCTTCTGTCACTTCCGGTGATGTCAGGGGGCGTGGCATATGCAAATAAGTTATGCTAATGAGTTATGCTAATGAGCTCCGGCAGCTCTTTTTCTACAACAAGACCCCTGGTTATGACAATGCTAACATATGGCAATAACTTCTCACTTACCTTTACAGCTGATCCGCCATAAAGCCTCCGTACCAACAGCCGACCCGCTTGAATCGCCACCGGTGTGAGTTCCAACTTGTCTTCCAACACATCTCCGATGGCATAGATATAAGGCACGTTCGTCTGCTCTTCATCATTGACAGGGATTTTTCCTGTTCTACAAGTTGTTGTCAAGGGAAGGGGGGGGGGAAGGCATTTAAGCAGGGTGCGTGTTTGAAATATCAGTCCCTCATTAAAATTATTCATTCTGCTGTCAAAGGAATGGCCCCTACAAAGACAGTCTGTTTTCCATACACAGGCAGAATTTTGGAATAAGTAAGAGGAAGTGCCTCTGAGCCTATGGGAAGTGCTCCATATAGAAGCCCAAATCCTCAATTGTGAGTGGGGTGTGTGTGAAAAAGCTATAGCTCTTCGGTAGCAGAGGGCACTTTCCATATGCTCAGTTGCACTTATTCAAAGACTCCACCCTTGAACTGAAAACAGGATAGTCTAAATGGGAACTTTTGACGGGGCACCATTTCCGCTGCGATTTCAGCTGGCTTTAAAAAAAAATAGACAGGCGAGGGGGCATTAACATGTTTGCATGCACATGTCCCGATCTTCCTAAGAAGCACGGTCCAAAGGGGAACATGCGATTTGAAGGAAAGAGGCTTATGACCATGGAGATCTCAAGGCACCCAGATGTAACACCCTTGCTAACACTAAGCATATCTGCGGGAGCTGGCTTGGATGTGGCACTGCCTTGAAGCAAGCCTATGAATGCCATTTTGAGCTCCCAGAGGAATGGTGTCATTTAAATGAAATCAATAATTACATTGATGGCTGTCGAGAAAGACTGAAGAAAACCGTGTCCCGAAGCCTACTGACAGCAGGAGCTCTGTGCTGTTGGCACCAATGGAGTCAGTGGCTACACAAGGGAAATGGGTTTTTTTTAATGCTTATGGAATGCAAGGAGGCAGTAGCAGCCTCGCAGTTTCCATATGGATGCAAGCACTTAAGGAAAAACGTTGGCTGTCAAGTCTCCAGTCTCCAGATTAGTGTTGCAAGAAGTTAAGTACACACAAGCGCCCTCTTAGGGACTTGTATTCAGTACGACAAGGCCTCTGTCGCTTGAATAGCTGGATGGTCCAGATGCCCCCATGGATACAGAGCTCTGACGGGGGGGAGGAGTCACCTGTCCAATTCTCCCATTTCTTACAATATCTTGCATAACATAGGAGCCCTATCAAATCTCATGACAGAACAGAGCACGGAAATACCAATTTCACAATGACGACCACTATGCAGAGTATTCCCCACTATTCCTTGAATAAGATGATTCGAGAGCGCTGATTGCTAGTACATGAACCATTAACATTTTCATTAGTGCAAAGTGTGCCCTTTTGGCATGTTCAGTTATGTTCATTAAGCAGTTCCTCCTTACTGCAACAGAAATTGGCTGGAAAGGAAATTTATGTCTCCTTGGAAAATTAAACCTTTTAAGTCTATGCACAGTGGCAAAAGCCAATCACACAGGTGCAGCCGAGACAGCCCCAAGAGACTTTGCCTTACTTCTCATTGATCTTCACTCCAATCCTCTCCAAGCCAATTTTTCTTGTACATGAATCCCTCCCAATGGCCAGCAACACCTGCAAAACATCCGCATTCATGTTATTTCCTGCAAACGTACAAAGTCATTTTTTTTTCAGGACACTGGTTGCTATGTTAATTATTATTACATTCACAGATTCAGAGGCCACAGTACTAACTATTATGCAAGGAGCTGCTGTGAAGTGATCTCTGGAGATGCGGTAGTATCAGCGGGTGGCCATTCCCACAACTGCAACTGTACATCTTGCAGTATCTGCAACTGCATGGATAGGGGAAGCTATCTCCAGGTCCAGCCCAGTTCATGCTAACCCACAGCTGCATCCACACTGGGTTGGCTATCATGCTACTGTTGCACTACAGCAAACACTTTGCAACTGGGCTTTCTTGCGTGGCTAAGACAATCTTGTTATGTATGAGAACTAGAGAGTGACAACAGCGCAACAGCCAACGACATGTGGATGCAGTGGCCGTGTTTTCCTGCACCACTGTAACCACGAAGCAGTCTTAGTCGCTTACATGCTGGAAAGACAGCCATACAAACTGGGCCCAATGTCTGATACAGAAACATCAGCAAACACATAAACTGCATCTCCAGGCTTTGTCCATGCACTGTTTTAGTGAAAACAACTGGACCTGTGTAAATTACTTACTGTATTGTATTCTCCTTCAATAATTTCAGAGTTCTCAGTATGACGAGCTGTGACTTTTAGTATCCCAGGAGTTCCTTCCTTGATCTGTTCAATCTACAAAATTGTAAAACTCAAGTATTAGCTTCATATGGCAGAAATATTCATTTGTTCCATTACGAATTCACCCCCTAAATGTGTGTTTAAAAGACTCTGAAAACATAAGCTATTTGAAATGGGTCCCTCCATTTTTTCAGAAGCAGCTGTCACACTACACTGCCATGAATGGATCATTCCTTTTTACTAGAGCTATTTTTCCACAAACGGAAAACAAACAAACAATAAAAACCCTAGAGAGTTTTGAACTACCTGCATTTCAAAGGCAAAAATTCAATCCACTTTGTAAAGCCACACTTGTCAATTGGCTGCTGGCTTCCCTAATTTCTTTTGACATCTGAGAAGACTGATCTCATCCCAGAAGGCTCTCAGCAAACAGCAACAGCAGACATGACAAAGGGAGCAGCCATGTTTGTTGTATCTGCCCCTGTGCGTACAGAAGCAGGACATAGAGGGGATACCTATTTAAACACCAAAAGGAAGAATTAGGATTACGGGCCTGAATCCTCCACCCTTCCCTGTCTCACCATGCTAATGGAGCCAGGCTGGAAGAAGCGCTAGGGACAAGAGACCAAAGGAAGATAAAATGGGGAAGGGCCCAGCTCATCTCAGGCACATGTCCCCTTTCGTATTAAAATTAAACCCCCATCCCTCCCTCAAATATATGAATGGGCCAGGCATGGGATTAAACAAGATGGCAGAAAAGAAGGACGGAAACAAGGAAAAGACAAATGCTGCCCTGAACTCAGAGGATCCCAGAAAATTATACCATAACTTCAGTATAATCCAGTACAATCCAGAATTTCCAAGAGGGGAAAAGGGAACGAATGCTTTCTAAGAGCTTCTCCTTTGCTGCAGCCAGCACTGGGTCATGTAAGATGTCTTGCTTTTTTCAAGTACATAAAGCCATTTTTGTGATCAGTGCACAAAGAAATTGATCATTTAATTATGTGGTAAACAAATACAGTAAAGTGCTGCAGCCGCTTCCAACTTCCATTTGTGCCGCAAAAGTCAAATGCACAGACGGACAGAGTGTATAAAATGCCATCAAGTTGCAGGTCTCTTATGGCAACTCCAGCAAGGGGCTTTCAAGGCAGGTGAGAGGCAGAGATTGTTTGCCATTGCCTTTCTCTACAGTCTTCCTTGGCGGTCTCCCTTACGAGTACCAGCTCTGCTTAGCTTCTGAGATACCATGCTGCCTTCTCTCCTACACAGAAAATAGGGGCTGAAAATGCCGAAGTTTTTAAAGCAAGAAGATGATTTTAAAGATTGTTAATAAGTGAGCCAAACTACGCTATGTTTCGTGTGGCCCTTGCCACAAGGACTTCTAGTCCGATATAAGCTGCAATTTCCTTGGGGGACTTCAACTGTGAAGTACGGAGGGTCTCAATTTGGATCGGGGCAGCAGTATATGGGGAGAAGGTGTTTCTATTCCCCCCCATAGTCATTTTCCTGAATCCAAACAGCCCTGAAGCCCTATTTGGCAGCTAGACATGTAGCCCACCAGTACATGTGCAGAAGCCAGTGGGGCAAATATTGTGCCCTAAGGCCATATTGAATTGGGAGGGTAAGGAAGGCAGGAGCCCATTCTTTCTAAGCACTGTGGTCCTGCAGTAAATCACAAGTCAAACATAAAGTTTTGGCCCTCATTCTGCAAGCTCGCTTGCTTCCTCTAGTGAAAGGTTCTTAACCTCTGCAATGGGTCAAATCTTAAGTTTGTAAGGGTTCCTGTGCTCTTAACAACTTTCTGGGGGGGAGGAGTTGGGCAAATGTAATTTTCCCCATTCCTTTGCTCAGAGCAAGTGTCCTTCTCAGCCAGTATGTGGCCCAGTTCTATTTCCTTTATTTCTTTTTCAGGATCCTAGAACATTAATCTCATTTCAGGTAGGCATGGGACCTTGGAGGATCAAGGATCCTAAAGTGGCTGTACATATAGCCTGCTTAATGCAGCCTGAGTACAGTGAGAGCCTTTTGCCTTCCTTTCAGCCCAGTTGTAGCTATAATTCATGCATAAATCCAAACACAAAATTCTCTTTGATTTTAATACTGATAAATGTCCTGTTCATTACTAAGGGAGGGCACGTTCACTCAGCCGGCCAGGCACACTGATTTCCCCCCTACCTCCTGGGGAGCCCAGAACAAAAAGAAGAGGATTTGTTCTAGTTAATGTTCCGGTTTTGAAATATCTGAAAACCTATAAACCATTGGCTTAATGTCTCACTGAAACTGAAAAACAATTTCCCTACCATTGGAAAATAATTATGTATTAATCATTAAGAAGAAATGCTCTTTTTATATACAAACACTAATTGCATTTGCTAATCCTTTCTCAGCAACAGCTTCCTAAATACCACTGACACACTGATCGCTCAGGGACAGTCTGGAGAAGTCCTGTGTGTTCTGAATTCAGGAAGGAGGGGAGAAGTTTAGTTTAGCCAAAGGGGTGGGAGAAGGACAAGACATGCAATTCATCCCTCTCATCTCAGTCCGGTACTCTGCTGTCAAAACTCTTTCACCTGTTTCATCGCTCTAACTATGCAACACTCCTCCTAAAATCCCTGCACCAGCTTCCTCTATTGTCTCTGATCCAGCAAAACTGTGTCATCTTCAGAGCCATCCATAATCTCACTTCCCCTTCTCTCTCTGCTTTCATATCCTGACATACCCCTGCCCATGACCTTCCCTCCTCAGGTGTCCAACAGTCTCCTGCTCCCTCGCTGACCCCATATACCTGGGAGATGCCTTCCAAAACACCTGCATGATGCCACTTTTCCCACCTTCCTTCAAGTCACTTTTCAAAACTCAACTCATCCATGAAGGCTTTGTCATAACTGTTTAATACCTTTCCCCTATTGAAACTAGGTCAAAATATGTTTAACTGAAATCAAGGGAGCAACACAAAGCAGGTCTACTCAGAATTAAGTCCCATATTATTCAATGGGGCTTACTCCCAGGAAAGCATCCTGAGGACTGCACAGTAAAGCATATTTGTCTCCATTTACTCCTACTTAATTCTGTTCTCTATGCAGAAATGTAGACTGTAAGCTCCTTGGCGCAGGGACTGATCTTGTGAACACTCTTTCTAGTGTCATGCACATTGATGGCACTAGGGAAACTGTAATTATTATTGCCCAAAGCAAATGCAGGTTGTGGGAACAGGTGAAATTAATGAACACTTCTTAAACCCGCAACATTTTAATTTCATTAAAATATGCATATAAGGACTACTTTAAAAAAAAATACATATGCACTGGAATAAAAAAACCCAACTAAAACCAATCTCACCTTGGTGGGCACACATCTCCTAATGAACTTGACTCCATGTCCTTCCATGTGCTCCCCTATTTTGTTTGCCATATCCTGATCAAAGCCTCTTAGAAGAATGGAGCGCACCATCACAGTCACATCTAAACCAAGACCTGCAAGGAACCCCGCACACTCAAGGGCGACATAGGAAGCCCCAACCACCAATGTCTTTCCTGGGCAGTAATACAGGGAGAAGAGATCATCGCTGTGGGGGGGGGGGGGGGGAGAGAAATATTGATACATTAATACTAGAAACAAAATACAAGAGGAATCATCACATCTGGGAAATACACACAACTGGACTGTGAATTAAAAGTAAAGGGGGGAATACCCTCATAAGGAGAACACAAGCATCCCCCTCCACAGTAAGGCATTTGGGAATAACTGCAGCAAATGGTCAATGGGACTCCTGTACTATAGGCTACTCAAGAACTGGATGCTGTTACGTGCATAAGTAACACAAGTAAATAGGGAAATCATTCCATGCAGAATGGAGGCTGAATGGCCTTCTCCACTTATATCGTGATTTGGCTTCGCAAATGGCAGCTTGTAAGGTATGCTGCTTATGCAGAGTGAATAAACGCAGCACAACACGTGTATATTAGTAAATAAAGTTTTTCTTTATTTATATAAAACTGGGAGATTAAAGAAAACAAAGGATAAACACCCTCTCTAACTGCTCCAATCTACATGTTGACTCTTAGACTTCTAAACCTCATGTGAGAACAGACTAGAGTAGAAGAACAAAGAGCAAAAAAACTGAAATCCAATGCTTACTCACTAGACCGACCTCAATCTATTGATTACCCAATTGGAGAATCCCAATACTAACTAATTGTGCATTTTTATCACCTTACTCTGGTGGGAAATTACGTGCAAGCTCTACCACTGGGTCCCTAAACTTAACTAGCTAGGACATTAGCATGCATAAACAAACATGTTAATTCTTTTATAACTTCAGGAGGGAACTTGCAAATCCCAGAGGTGGGTAGTTCATTATCACATGGCCACTTCACACATCGGATATACACAAATCTAGATTTGCTATTAAACATATACACGAGGTGGCAACCAGGTATAATTCCATGACACATGAATCTGTATGATACGTGTGTGTCCAAACATTTTTTTTCTGAATGATCCCTTTTACAGAATGTGCCTTGCCTAAGGTCCCCCATCAGCCTGCCATTGAGCTCGAAATTCAGTACAGGCAGGGGTCATTTTGTAGAAAAAGAGGTGAAGGAGCTCATTAGCATAACTTATTAACACAGCTTATTTGCATATGCCACACCCCCTGACATCACCGGAAGTGTGTCAGAAGGCAACACCCACCGCTCAGGCTCCACTGGACTGTTTTGGATTGCTAGCTATTGTGGGGGAGGGGGATGAGCAGATCTGTCCTCACAGAGGAGGGAGAGCTTGTACCTGAATAAAACGTTGTCTTAAAGGTGCCACTGGACTGTTTTGGACAGGGGGGGGGCTCTGCAGCTTACCTGGCTGCTTCTTGCTCTGACTGAGGGCTGCTGGGAGCAGGGGGTGGGGCTTATTGCATATGCCCGCCCCCTGGGCTCTTTCCTGCCAGAGCTCTACTCCTGTGCGCTCCTGCAGGAAATGACCCCTGAGTACAGGTCCAATATGAACCTTTCTCACTGCAACTAGAAACTTCTCCACTGCTGCAGGCCGCCAACTTCATCTCTTCCTAGGTGGCTATCGGACTCTTCTGTTCCCATCTCAGCATTATATTTTACCTGGTGATGCAATATTCCTTGTCTCCAGGGATGCCGGGATAACGGGGCCTTTCTCCAGTTGCAATCAGAAATCTCTCTGCTGTGTAAAACTTCTCTACCCCTTTGCTATTTGTTGCCTGTAAAATAAAGTAACAGAGAACAGCAGCTTTTTATTCTAAGCTTTTGGGAATAACATGCATTCCTTACAACGTACTCTGGCTCTCATCCCATTAAGGCATTTGGCTACGTAATCAAAATGCAGAGTGCAACTCAGGCATCAAGCTGCCATAATTAAGACTTGACCATGTGAAATAAAAGATTTCCTTTGCGTAGAAAGAACCTCAGCGACAACACTTTCTTAAACATGGACGCATGACTTCATCTCTTGAGTAACTGGGGAGGGGGATTAAAATAGTTCCATCTACTAAAGCCCCAAACCCTTCCAATTTATTCTCCCCAGTGGTTTGCTAAACACATTTCATATTCCCACAACAGCCCATTTAGCCATTGCTCCAATCCATCCCCCGCCACATCTCCCACATCTAGCCCCCAGGCCTTGGAAGGCTCACGCTACCTAACCAGTTTCAGAAGGATAGTCAGTGGATGTTACAGCAAAAGCAGCAGCCTTGCAACCCCCTTGAACAGATTTACTGAGACATGAGATCAGAGCCTCCTTTATCAGATGTGTGAAGTATAATCTTTCATTGGCAGACACAGCTACAAAGGGAAAAATATTGTCACTGGAGCCAAAAGGCTCTGAAGTGTAAAGAACAGCAGCAGGTCTGTGATATGCAGAGCCCGCAAGATACAAGATAAGAGCAGGGTGATTAATTCACAACATTATTTTGTTGTAATAATACCGTATTTCTAACTATGCTATCCTTATTTCACAGCTGCAATGAAACAGAGTCCCAATTCAGTCCAAACAGAATTTGTTAATGCATTCTGGTCCAGCAGTCTCAAGCTGGAGCTCCCCTTTGAAGTCTTCGCTGTTGAAGTACAGCGTGTTTCAGGTTCCCAGTGAAGTATCCTGGGAGACTGAAATGTTTTCCTCACTGATTTCTGACTGTTGCCCATTTCAATGTCGGCTTTGTTTCAGCTCTTGCATAAAGACAGTCTTCTGTGTCCAATGTAGACAGCAGGAGGACACGTTCAGCATATGATGGCACATATCACAGGGGAGAGTGAGCTTCCAATAGTGAGGATGGTGCTCTTAGATCCTATAAGAGTGTTGCCCAAGCAGATACATGGACAGGATGCAATAGCTGGGTTTGCTGTTGGGACTTAGTACTTGGGTTTAGGTACCTATCACATAGTCTAGTGAGGAACTGTCTCAGGTAGACCTACTGGTCTTGAAGGTCCTACTGCCATGAGACACCTGCAGGCTGGAAGAAAAAGGGGAGACGAGGAGCTGCAGTTGCCGTTGCCAGCAAAATGAGGGGTGGGCTTGTGCTCCTGCCACTGCAGAGAGAGTGAGAGCAGCTGGGGGAGGGGAAGCAGCTTGCTTGCCTCTCCCACAGCAAGTGGCCCTGAAGACTTAAGGAAGGCTCCAAAAGCCCCAACGCTGGTGACTCCCAGATTAGTGGCAGGCAACCAGAAGGCATTTTGCCCAGGGCTCCCAACAGCTGGAACTCCTCCTGACCTAACAACGCATGCTTCAAACCCAGCCTTAGGGCTGCTGGACTCCTCACTCACCTTCAGTCAGGAATCTGAGGATTCCTTGCCCCAAATATGATATGAGGACCTCCATCCTTCCTTCATCCTCTGCTGTCCCTTAGCAGCAGAATACAATACAATACAAGAACTCGTGGGCACTCCATGAAATTGCTGAGCGGTCGGGTTAGAACGGATAAAAGGAAGTACTTCTTCACCCAAAGAGTGATTAACACATGGAATTCACTGCCACAGGAAGTGGTGGCGGCTACAAGCATGGACGGCTTCAAAAGGGAATTAGATAAGCACAAGAAAGAAGACCCGCGAAACGGCTATTAGCCACAAGGTA